GCCAAATTGCAGCATTTAGTACGATTGCTGAAAAGCTTAAATGTGCTCTTAACACTTATCTTGTAAAACTGTCCAGCTTTTATTTATATATATATATATATAAAATAATGACCTCACTGGATTGAAATGGATTTTCAGAACCTTGGGAATGATCTTGTCTTTCTCTGATTGAAACATTTCATTAACTTTGTCTCAGTTTTGTCATTCTCATGTTTTTTGCCAGATGTTTTCTAACCAGTCGTTAGACCTTTTGAGACACAGGTGCATTTAAAGTCACTTTATGTTAAATGTGATAAGAGACAAGTGATATGTTATCACATTATCTCTAAAATAGCTTTTAGTTAAGTATTTCTTCATATACTTCAGTTTAATTTAGGTTAGTGTGTGGATATCTGTCCACTTTGAGATGAGTTTTTTCTGTCAGTCAGTTCAGAATAAAATAATAAAAATTAAATACATCCAGTGTGATTCAAACTAAATAAAAAAAAAAGAAGAAGAAAATGCAGGGCTTTGGGAAAGTGTCCATGCACTATAGGTAGCAAATGACTCACTTTGACTTTAACACTGCTGTTTACTTTCTGTTCTTATATCTGCAGTCTGTTACATTCCAGATGTCTTACAGAACCTAAGCGATTTCTTAAATAGGTTCCCTTTATATTGTTTGTTTGTTTTGTGGCACTGGGAATTTGAAATGGCAAAAGAGTTTGGGCTGTGCAAAGTGCCTGTTGTAAAACTGATTGTGTTCATTCCATGTTTTCATTTTCTATGTGGCTGCTGAATCAAATAGAATAAATACAGACATTTTTATATTAAACCTATCAAGTGTGAATGCTTTCAGCAGTGGTGGTATCATTGTCACCCTAGGGTGGCAGCATTGTGATGAAAGAACAATGTGTGCTATTACTGACAGTCTTGTTTTTAAGCCTGGACATGATGGAGAAACTTCAGAAGGTGCCGATATGGCTCACGCTGTTCAGGGTTTGTAACTTCTGTGAATTCAGGATTGAACTCGTAGGCGCACTAGCTGCCAGATGTCAAGAATAGATTATATTTATTCATAAATAAATTACACCAGTCTTAAGTCAGTGATTGGAAATAAGCAGTCTTGTTTGGAGGTAATAAATGCAGAACACATGCTTACAGAGACATTTCCATGTGCAGGGCCATGGTACAGGAAGGAAGCTTACAGTAAGACCACATCAGAGGCCTCATTCCTGTTTACATGATTCAGTAAAATGAATACAAGAGTTGCCTGTCAATGGAACTGTCACCCCCTCCTGAAAGAGACTTAAGCAATATAAAGAAAACAAAATATATTGAACTGCATTGCAAAAGGAAATATTCAAGTAGTTGATAATGCTACTTTTGCTGTTTTTAAATTAGTTAAAAATACAAACTGCTCCACCTCCGCTTTGAGTCGAGTGAAAATGGGTCTTCTGTTGGGTGTCCATTTCATTTACATGTACTCTCAGAAGAAAACATATCTGTTCCTCTAATGTGAGTGAAGGAAGAGCAGTCTAGGATCAGGCAACAAACAGGATTTACATGAGACATTATCTACCACTGTGGCCACTGGGCGCCACTCCCTTCACACATGCATCTGCAGGCTGTTTGACCTTCTGAGGGGATTCAAAGACATTTTCAATGTCCAGTTGATGGACAAACATCTGTTTGCAGTTATTAATCATTATTACATTATTGGTTACATTTATTGCTCCAATTATGTTGTGAAGTTTGTCAAACACGTGAACATAATGAGACTTTAAAGTACAAATTATAGGAAGTAATAAAGTACATTTCTGCCTCAGCTGGCCTCTTACCTGACACGATCAAAAACCAGCGAGAACCATCTGAGTTAGAGCAAACACTAAGACTAATTTATCAAGTCTAAAAAACCAACCACAAAACATGAGGGGGGGGGGGGGGTTTCCATTAAATATCTGTCAATATTTCTAACTTATCCCATTCTGAACTAAAAGGAAAAACAGAATTATTAATACTCTGCTTATTTCACAGCTTCTGAATTTTAAAATGTTTTATGTACAAAAATAAAATCAACTTTTAAAGCCAGGCGTTTAACACTACGGGATTTTCAGGGTTCTTTTTAACCTGTGGATTTATTGGGAGAAATTTTAATATTAACGAGGTACCTTTCCAGATTGCCTACAGACACCTATACCTAAACCCCTCGGCCAATCAGCATCCTAAACCATTCCTTTTGTTGCATAAATAACATATCCATTTTATTTTAGGTATATTAACACATACACGCTGACACACAGCATGTACATCTACATATATTCAAATCAACCACCTGAATACTTGTTGAGAGGACCAGTGCTTTAACTGACTCTAGGGTTTCTGCTGTTGATTGCACTGGGCTGTAAAGACACTCAGTGGGCTAACCTGTGAAATAACACATACGTAATAAGGCTGGAGAAGGAGAGCAGACTATCAGAGTTTTCATCTGTTGACGCACACTGACATAATATATCAGACAACAGAGGTTTCTTTGGTAGGTGCGATGATGACGATTGCAGTAGGATGTAAACATGACTTATCTTAGGCTCTCTCGTAAGCAGGGCTGAAAACTATACATCCACTGTAAAAAATAATGCTTCAGGTCCATTAAAGTTGCTGTGAGGAAATCTCTGCGTGTTAACGAGACATCGGTTTGTACAAAAATGGAAACATGGTTTAAATATATTCAGCCTTTACAGATAAATGCATAAACTTGAACACAGCAGGGCGAAACAAAATTAAATGACCTTCACTCAACGTGAACTAAAAACAAGCTGTCTTAACCAGATACTGTGGGAAAATTGCACTAATTTCTGCACTTTACAAAGGAAAAACAAGGTCAGATTTCCCCTAATGGAAAGGATCTTGTTTTTGTTTATATATCAACAGTATTGCACATCAAGATAAACTCCTTCTACAGAGTGTGGGAGTCAAAGAACTAACCAAACACTTCACTATCACTACAGCGTTAGCTCACATAGTCCCATCACCTTTACAACTATTGTAAAAGTAACTACGGCAAAGTGACAACTGTTCCTTACACACACAAGTTGATTGTAGCTATTAGAATTATTTGGCTGCTATTTTATAAAACCAGTAAACCTACCACCTCCGTTACTTACTTATGTCCTTACGATTTATCCATAATTTATAGTCATTGGACGACAAAACTTTATCGGTGCTCTAGTGGCTGGACAAAAATGGTAATGTGAGCACACTGATAATGGACGTCTGACCACAACACTTTTTACAAAAATGATCAATCATGTCATCTAACAGAGCAGCACCTGCTTCACTCCTGAGTCAAATAGCTGCTGCAGCTCATTCTTGGCATTTAAAGTCAATAAACCAGATTTCGGGTTGTCAGGGAAGTTGTCAATCATTTAAAAGTGAGCTAGATCAATTTTCCTATTCTTTACTGTCAGTTTTAACTCGCTCATCACCAGACGTGTGGACTCAAGTCACATGACTTGGACTCAAGTCACATATTTGATTACTTTAGACACTTCAAAATCAAAAAAGACTTGTCTTGCAACTCGACTTGGACTCAAACGCCAATGAATCATGACTTAACTTGGACTTGAGCCTTTTGACCTGAAAGTACTGAAAGTATGAAAGTCTGAAGATTAAAAAGTCTGTTATTTAAGAAGTGTGTCACAAATCAACTAATTTACCTTCATTACCTGAATCAACTAATGTGAACGCTGTTGATTCCCCACCAGCTGACATTCCCCAGATCCACTTTGTTTGAACCAAGCCAACAGCATTCAGTTGAGTTGCAAGACAGAACCATGAAGAACTAAAAGTATGTTACTGAGTGACAGTTTGCACTTTTGTTTGCGTGCAAAAACCATGCGGTGGTCGACACCACAACTAATTGTAGAATACAAAACTTTTGGATTAAAAATTACCGATGAGACGCAACAACTTCCAATGATATTTGACATTTGAAGTTGCATAAAAAACAATAAATCCAGGCTAATATTAACACAGTTTACATGCTAATATTAGCTTAATAGCTAAGTAACTTTATAACACACTTATTTGAACAAATAAATACTAGTTTTTCATGATTTTTGTTAATTTAACATATCCTCCTGAGACCCTGTGTCCTCATATGAGGACATCACAGTTTGGGTTTGCTGCACCATAAACTTCATTCTGCTTGACTTAGACCTGTTGTCCTCGTTCCTGGACACTTTTTTTTGTGCTATATAGTGGTAGTAAGAGCACAATACACTAATCCAAGTAAAAACAAGATGGCAGCCATCTCTGCCCAGTCAGTCTGCAGCCAATCCCGACACAAAAGTGGACAAGGTACAAAACCGGATCACATATTATGGTTGAAACATGTTTATTTAAGATTAGTAAAGTTGGTAGGTTGATATGGCAACACATTTTGACCAATTTTAGCAACAGCTAAGATGCTGCAAATTTGGAAGTAGTCATTTGAAGACGTTGGGAATTTATTATCAACTCTTTTTGAGGACATTGGGACTTTACTATCATTGATGTTTAGTTTTTTACACTAATTAGGTCCTGCTGATCCCAAATAGTTATGAGAATTTAAAAATGCATACCAAACTAAAGTTCAGGTCTCAGGAGGATCTTATTATTTTGTTAAAATGACATGACATTTGGTGAAGACTGCTTTATGACTTGTTTAGGAAACTTAAAGTTTAGGACTTGAGACTTGACTCGAGACTTACCTGTCTTTAGTTGGGATTTGGCTTGGGACTTGAGTGCAAAGACTTGAGACTTACTTGTGACTTGGAAACCAATGACTTGGTCCCATGTCTGTTTATAACTCTTCATGGCAAATTCTACACGGTTTAACATTTGCTAAAAAAATTATATCTGCAAACACTATTTGACTCAGGACTGATCTACATTCAGAAAGTGCTTCTTAGTTTTCCATTCCACACTTTCTCTCACACCCAGATACTCGTACAACTCAAACAGCAGCTGTCAATCTCGTAGCAGCAACCACAATAACATTTTATTATCATAAATGTTGTTGTTGGCTTTGACATGTGAAAATTAGATGAGCTAGACTGCCTCCCGTCTCATCGTCTCTCAAAACTTTACTCAAACTCTCAGGTCACACAACACACACCCCGACACATCAGGTCACTCTGTCTTACAGTAATGTTGCAACATATAAATTAATACAAAAATAAAGGCAACTATTATCTGTGGTTGAAGAAGTGAAGTCTGTCAGACTTGCTTGTCCCTTTCAGTGTTTAAATTAAACCCTGGTACTGTGGCTTTGTGTAAAAATAAAATACCTTGAAATGACCTGAATCTCCAAAGTAAAATGTGATTTCCTTTCCTCGCAGTGATGGTCAAACGTAATAAACAAGGCTCTTCAGGGGACAGTCCGTGGCTTGTGACAGGAGCTCCTTCTTGGGAGAAGCTGAGCTGACATTGGGAATGGGACTGCCATCCTCCTCTCTCCTGACCTGCCTGTTGTGTGTCCCATGTCCCTCAGTGGAGGCCTGTGTTGTGTCACTCGGTCTCTGCCTCACTTGCTGATAAGGAACCCTCCCATCCACCGCAACTTACAGGCGAACCAGCGCCGCAGAGGGCAGAAGTATTCAAAGTGGAACTGCTGGAATTCAGGTGTCTTGCGGATGTCTCTCAGGAAGGCAATGTCCAGGTCTGACTCTGTCAGCATGATGAGGAGCAGCAGCAGGGCGAACAGCAGTCCGATGGTAACCAGGAACAGACGCAACACGCTCAGGACGAACTTGTTCAGCTCCTCCACGTCGCTCTGCGGTGATGGCCTGCTCTTGGCCATACGCAGTGCTCTCCTGCCCGAGGAAAACTCTTCCCCTGCTTTCGATGTGCCCGCCTCTGAGTCCTTCTCCTCATCGATGCTGCAGGGAGCACCGTTGAGGTGACGGGCTAAAGGCATCTCCATCCCGTGTTCGGCCACAGGTGTAGGCAGCACGCTGTCTGAGGGGCTGTAGGCCTCGTCGGAGATGACTGCTGACGTGCTTGCCTCGCTGCCGTCCGACAAATGGCCCCGAGAGGACATGAAGGAATCGCCATGGGAGACAGAGCGCACAGGTGTGGAGTGAGCGCTGTCTCGAAGGGACTCCAGACCTGAGAACACAGCGCAGAGGGAGACATGTTTAATAAGCAGCAGTTATTGTTGCAAGACACATTTAATGAGAGATTCTGACGTGACTTTCTTCTACCTCAGATCTTATAAGGCTCAAGAGAAATGTCTTCTTTAAGCAAATTATATTCAGTTTGAGTTTAATTAGTCCTAAAACCAAGGCCGTAACCATGGAGTCAGCACTGGAGGGGACAAAATCAGCCAGAGGGTCTTTGGAGTTTCTCTCCCAGAATCTTTCCCCTCTGGTTTTTAATACAGTTGAAGTATTGAAATAGAAAGACAGTCCAGTGTTTGACATTGATTGTACCTACCCACAGCAGTCGAGCAACAGCTGCTGCTGGGGTACGGAAACACCAACTGGACAGCCATGTTGGTGTTTGGTTGCCTGTTGCAGCACAGCACATAATGTTGTTCAATCTGTATGCTTATATTATATATTTGGGGGGAATGCGTGTCCCCCTAATATATACTATAATACTGCCTTGTCTAAAGTAGAGATCCACTTATCTTCTTTGAGTTGTAGCCTGGCTTGCTGGGAATACCCAAATACACTGTGCTCTGTTGAACACCATGCCAACATTAATCATTCTGACGTGGCCGGGAGGAGAGCATAATTTGCTTTTCATGATAAGCTTGTCATGACCTATGCTCAAGAGACTGATCCTGTCCTCCTGTCATGTAATCTATGTTTAAACAACATGCAAGCGGCAACTCTTCAAGTACTCATGAACCATAACAACGACCGGAAGCTACATAAAGACAATGCACACTTTAAACCTGATTAATAGATTATGCCATAAGTTGATGTGATATTCGAAATATTCAGCTCATTGTTCCAACACTATTCTTAAAGAGAAAGCCCTCCAATTTGGACCCCCGTGATGAGCCACATGAAGGCAGCACTCACTAATCCTGTAAGATGAAACCAGCCCCAGATACTACCTGCACAGTTGGCTGGTGGGTTGCAGCCATAGAGCTGGGGTGGGACAGCGAGCCTGGAAGGGGTCCTGGAGCTCTGTCCCGACCCAGGAGCAGAGCCTGAAGTGGAGGAACCCCCAGGGAGGGCCGGGAAGAGCGGTAGGACCCCCAGAGCTTTGCCCAAGAGCCTGGGTCCCAGAGACAGCACGCGTACGTTCACATCTCGATAGCAATGGTTAATCATGCGCAAGTGAACGTTGACCTTGGTCTTGATCCGGATCAGACACTTCACCATGGTTCAAAGAGAGCGAAAAACACCTGTCTGACACTTTCTGTGTTCCAACAACTTCTCCTTCTTTATGTCTGTGTGCTCTTGAAACTGCCTCTACCCTCTCTATCTTCCTGCTGTCTGTCTTTGTCTCCAACTGCGGCTGGCCAGAGAAGCAGCCCTCCCCTCTCCACAGCGAGCTCCCACATGCTGGCAGGCGGGCTGACAGCGGCAGATAAATAGACAGACAGACAGAGAGTGAAAGACAAGGCCCAGGAATGTGGCTCACTTGTGCCACAGTTCACCTCGTCCCTCCCTGCTGTCGGGCAGTGACACTCATGGCATGGCCCCTGACAGCGGGAGCTATTTTCAGGCCGAGATATTATTACCAGTGGAAATGCCAGTGTAGACAGAGCAACAGGACAACACACTGGGGGTTTGTTTCAGTGTTGCAACAGTGGGGTGCAATGTCAGAACCTGCTCTCTGTGTCAGTGACAAGAGGGGGGCTAGACTGACAAAAGATCAGTTTTTTTTCTGTTGAAAACACACTGTGCCATCAGTTGATTTAGTTTTAGTGAGGCTCCTCTGCTGAGAGCAAACTTACTTACAGTGGCAGCGCTGACAAAAGGTTAATAGCCTGTTGGAGGAAGGAGGGGACAGTAAGTGCCCTTTATAAACTTACAGGATGACTTTCTCATGTCCAAATAATGCCTGAGGCCAATGGCTCGAGGAGCTTGAGAGTGTGTGTAATAAGCCCTGAAACTGAACCCAGAAATGTGTGACGTGGGGGTGTTATCCATGGCTGATTGAGTCGCATGGACTAAGAAAGTGATTTCCAACCGAATTGTACTCCAGGGGTACACTTATGCAGTTGTAAGAGGGTACTTGGACAGATTGTGGAGCTTGTTACAAAGGGAGTAGAGAAGTCTATACAGTTAGCTAAAAGTAATGAATTGATAGATAAAAGCATTGGATTGATTGTGAAATGGCTAAAAGTAAAAGATGATTGATACAGTTAGCTATGGTAATGGAAAAATGTTTGAAACGCAATTTTGCCACCAGTGCCAAACACTGACCATTGTATAAAAACCATCACACAGTGTTCACTTCACAGTCCAGATGTTGTCAGACAGCCCAAGGACTGCTGTCAGCCACTGTGTTTTTCTCACAGTATTTTTTGAGTGTGTGTTTTACCCTCCATGATGGAGATGTGCACAGCTCTCCGTCGGGTCCTGGGCACACTGGTCAAACGAGGGCCGTGGGTGATGGATGGACAGCTCCTGCTTGGCACCATGCCAGCCCTTAACAAAAAAACACACCCATATGTACACATGATGTATACATCAAATGCATAAATCACTGTTAACCCACATTTTAGCTAATTTTTAAAAACATTTTTAGATTATATGTTATATTTATTTTAGGATTCTAACCTGTGTATCTCGGGGGGATCTCTCTTAATTTTGGCACTTTGTTCCATCACCTCTTTTGCAACTTTTCCACTGAAAAAACATAAAAAAGAAAGTCTGTTATTATGTGATTTATACAAAACGTGGGCACTAAAACAAGCACCACAACACCACAGAACATTTGTGTAACATTTTTAGCCAAGCCTGTTCTTAAAAGTGGTGTAATGATACATCGATCTGGACTGAAATATTAATTCAGGGATCAGTGATCTGATATCATCGACGCAAACTAGTAACCTTGATACATATCTTTAAAGGTAGGATCTGGAGGATTTTCAAACAAAACAAAATATAGACATAAACAAATGAAATCCTGCTTAATCATCACCTATGGGCTTCTACTCATGTGTGGTGGTGACTCTGTTTGCAGAGCTCCTGCCCTTTAACTGTATTTTGATGTTTTTGTAAGCTCTGACCGCTTCTGGGCGGAGATTTCCCCAGCCAATGAGAGAGCGCAGGTGCCGTGCCCGAGCGTGTCCAATCGTGCACCAGCGCGAACCTTGCCTGAATCTCTTCTGTGAAGCCTTCTTCCGTATCTCCAGGCTCGTACACCCGGGAGAAATGGCGGATACAGACGTACCCACGAAGAAAAGGAAATTAAATGTGAGTGAGGCAAAACGCCGAACCGATAAAGCACGGGCCAAAACTCGTGTGAATATCGGGGTGGCTTTCACCCGCTTTCGAACATTGAAGGAGAGGCTCGGGATGTACAGCGACGCGGAGTTGGCCTGCTTTCTGTTGGACAGGTAAATCCCAAATGGGTCCATGTCATTGGTTCGACAGCCCATTGGTTCTACATCCCATTAGTCTGACTGTCCGCGGTGCTGAACGGCTTGCAGCGGGCGTATGGTGCGCCGTGACCGGCTTGAGGCGGAGCAGGCTCACGTCTTATGAGTTTGTCACTTTCTTTTTCATTTTAACCCACACCATGATCTTTTCCTGACCCTAACCAAGTGGTTTTTGTGCCTAAACCTAACCAGACCTTAACCACAGGGCATCATGATGATTTCGGAACGGACTTCGGAACAATGAGTTTAATATGGTCGGAACAATGGGATGTTGAGCCAATGGGCATTTCCCATCCCAAATACAGGCCGGTTAGCTTGTGCTAGTTTGCTAATTTATCAACTTTTCCATTACAACAACTGTAATTCCTACGTAGTTTGTTGTGGAGGCTAATTCCGACTATCAACCGATGCAAATAACTTTATGTTTAGCTAATATAAGGCTTGATGTAGTGTGAGGATTGAGCTTTGAATCATTTTGTGTAACACCCAACTGCCGGGAGGGGTAGGGGCAGCGCGCAGTTGAGCCTGATAGGAGGGGCCAAATTTGAATGTGTGTTTACAAACAGCAACTGGAAAATCCTCCAGACCCTACCTTTAAGATACGCCTTTATTTTGAAATTCTCATGGCACGTCTGTGTCACCATTTCCTGTCTTAGTGCACCTTCTTCCTAAACATTCAAACAATGCTAGCAGCCTTGTGCCAGGCAGACAATGAGGATAATTACTAATGTCATCTCATATTGATCACAAGCCCCTGAACTGAATCAAATTCAAATCATATTGTGGCAGATTTTGTGATATCAGCAAATGTATCATTGTCCAAGGAATCAATATAAATGCACTTCACATTTATAACTTGTTCATCTATAAAGTGTTACGAATACTTAACGAGCAATTGAATACCTGTATCTAAAGCGACTACCCTTGAAGAAGAGATTACTACTGGACACAGTGCGGACTTGACTGGACTTCTCCAACCTGTCAGGAAATGTAAATTAAAGAAAGACGATTTTATATAATGATGTTCTTTTTGCAGTTTGTGTTTCAGGTCATGTGACTCACTTGTAGAAAGCCTGATTCTCCACCCCGCACTTCCACAGATGCTTACAGGCCTCAGGTGTAGGTGCAAAGTACGTCAGTATGATCTTCTTATCCTGTAACAAGTCCGGAACAGTCACTCATACATTTATAAATAAATCAGACTTTAATCAGACTCCTGGTGATGATTTTGGAGACATCTTTATCATGTAAGGAGAGAATGTCTGCATAGTCTGTCCTGATTTACTGAGCTTTTGGCTACTGGGAATTATTAAGCACACAGTATATTAACCAACTCTCAGACAGTGGCTTTACTTTACCCCTTTGTCTGCTAAACCTGTGGCCAACACGCATTTTTGTTTAACGTTTTCCCGTTTACTTCACCATAAAGGATAGATTACATCGGCTCCCTGGTGGCAGTGCCCCATGCATAAAACAAGGCCACACTCATTTAACTTCCTGAGCTCCACAGGCCCGAAAAGGGAATGTTTTAATAATGCATACACATACCTCCTTCTGATTTGCATATATATGGAATGTCTTTGCTTCAAATTTGAGTTTGGTCACCTCCTCCCTGAGTTTGAGAGACAGACAGAACAAAGGACAGACAGACAGACAGAGAGGGACATGATGACAAATGGAAACAGGAGACGACAGAGTGAGAACGAATTAAAAAAAGGGAAGAAAGAGGAACAAATAGCAGAACAAAGATGGAGGGAGAAAGGAAAAGGAAGGGAGAGGCAAAAATGGATAAAGGTGGTAAAATATTAATTGTGGCTGGAGGCAAATTAACAAGGCCAATAGTGTTTCATTTCAGTGTTGAAAAGTCTAGACACATTGATCCCAGTCACTGAAAATGACAAAAATAAGCTGCAGGAGATTAAAAAAAACACAAATTATAAAACTACAACAATTGCAAACAACTCAGACTCTGAAGACTTCTGAGCGTGCAGCTTCACAGATGGTTGACTCTGCTGTCTTGAAATGGTTACTAATATCCTCTTGTACAGATCACTGGTTACTTTTAGTTTACCAAGGGGTAAACTAGGTTACCGAGTTTGCAGTTATTCCTACTGCACGTCCTCATGTACATTATCATTTTATACATTTTTACATTGTCTGCACTACACACTATATTTTTCACACAAAGTTGCACACAAGATAACTGGAAGTACTTTACTACCCAAGAGTGTGTATTGTATTATCAGATTTGATTCCTGTAGGATTAAAAATCTAAATCTAGAAGATAATGAAACAAATGTTCGGAGCCAGATTCAGAAGACTTGGATTATGCCAAGCAAGCTCTTTGAAGTAATTTTAGGATTTTCTTTTTCCTTTGCTGGCAACGAGCACTTCTGTTATTTAGAACAAGAGTGTGGCAAAGTTGTATGAGATCATTTGTGTGTGTTTTGTCGACATGAAAACTTGGAGATTTGGAGTTAAGCAGCATGATGAGTTTTCTGGCACTTTACTTTGCACAAGTTGTTCATTAATGTGTGTTCATGGAAGTTTTTTCTCACTGCTGGTAAAAAACATTTATTTCTCTCTGCTTGCACTGGTCCATATGGAGCTTAATGAATTTTCTTTCAAACAGTGATAAAGTCTTGCTCATTAATTTGGGCGTTCATGTTGCAGCCTTTCATAGAAATAGGCTTTTTTTTAATCTGGCATCATGTCGTGTTTTAACTGCTCATCTGAACTCACCATTTGAGGAAATGGACCCTCCGGTTCCCTTGTAGCACAGTGAATCCAAAAGGAGTAAAAGCCAGAAAAGCTGGGTTGCCAGACACATCCTGACAGGCACACAGACCCGTGTTTTGTTATTGTAGAATCAGAATTTTAAATCACAATGAGGTAATATTTTCTTGTAAAGCTCCTACACTGATAAAAGGACACTTCAAGACTACTTCAAAATAACAAAATTCATTTTATGACTGACTTTGACATTTACTCCAAAAAAAAAAAAAAAAACCCATACAAAATTACTCATCAGTCAAACTGCACCAAAAGCATAAACTCATAAAAAGCACAAGCTCATAATTCCAGCATAAATTTGTTTTGTAAAGACCACCTTGCATGGATGAGGGTCCACTCCGTACGTCTCCAGCATCTGAGCCTTCTGGAGGAAGTTGAGCTCTGACGTTTCAGGACTCTGACCTCTGGGAAGAAAAAACAAAAATCAGTTAACTGGCTTCTGTCGCAACCAGCTGTCAGCTCTTATGTGTGTATCCTTTAATCTATCTAATCTATTTCATGATCACTAGTGTTTAATTCTGCCAGCATTGTGATGATTTTTTCTTTTTCCTGTGCTGACATTCTAGTATGGGGGAGACACATCTGATTGTTTCAAACTGCTGTCAAACAAGATGGTGGAAATGAGCAATAGAGGGCAGTGTAGGATCAAATCTCTAACCAGTGGCTGTGTCAACCAGGGTTGTAAACACTGTGTGTGTGTGTGTGTGTGTGTGTGTGTGTGTACAAGATGGAAATAAAGAGAAGATCGGAGAAAAATACAAAGCTTCTACTAACAAACAGGGTTGATTTAAGTGAATTATTGGCTGATAAATCAAACAAAAGTTAACAAATTACAACCTTATTATGAGCATAGGCAGAGCTCACATCTAATGCACTGGAATTTAAATGTAGCAGTTCGGACATTTAAAAACAATCCTGCCAACCTCTTGCTGTACATTGGCTGTTGTACGCTAACTCATCAACCATGAAGTCATCATCTGGAGGAGTAGCAGGATGACAAGGTTTCTGTATCTGCTCACAGTCACTGTGTGCACCTGCTGTGACACATGGCTGTGACCTTGTCTGGCACCCTTCCACTTTAAGGCCAAGAGGGCAAAGCAACATTAACCGAACCCGACTGACCAATGACAAATTCACATCAGCCCCTGGGCTTCATACAAACACACCTACAGGAGCATGAAATAAGTCCCATCCTGGAGACACAAAATCCAAAAGGTTGTCAGTCTTTGCCAACACCACCGATCTCAGGGATCAGCAACCAGGAAGAGCTGCTCTCGCTGATGATACTGAACCACTTGCACAAAAACACCTCTTTGAAAGTGTGAAAACATGGACCCAGGGGGGGCAGGGGAGTCTCATCCTATGTAGGAGAATGAGTGGCGACTGTTACATCCACACCTCAGACCTGTCCAGTGCAGTGGTCATCACAGGCTGTGTGTCCACCACCCCCACCATAACAACTGACCTTTTACTGCCAAAGGCTGGAGCAGAAGCCCGAGCTTTCCCATAGAGCTCTAACTTGAAAAAGGATTGAGAAACATCCCGCAAGAAAAAGTGTTAAATTATAAATCCGGACAGGTGAAGCTGACTTTTCTTGCTACCTCTTAAGTCAGATCTTTGAAAGCTAAATTGTGTGAACTGTTCCTCTACTCTCTTTAAACTGTCAGCACCACCGAGGGGAACAAATCCTAAATTCACCAGACCATTAATGGCTGCTCAAGCACCGGCTTCTGGCCACAGTTTGCTTGAGGCAGGGGTACCCCAAAACTGGCGAACTGAAGGAAGCACCCTGCCAGCCAAACACTGTGGTCTGGAGAATGCTGCAGACTGGTGTTTTAAACTGCCAGACATGTGCAGCCGTCAGAGTCTGTGCTGAACCTGTACATGAAAATTTCAGTGCCTTGTTTTGCAGGGCTACAGAGCTTGTGTGAATGCAAAGCCTGCAAAACAACCATAGAACATAAGTGAATACTCAGCATATTGTAAGATCAAACCTATAGCTCTGAAAATCTTATCAGATTATTTACTTGCACGTGTTCTGAAAGTGAGATGTCCTCTTTTGGTTGGACTAAGTCGCTATCATAAGCCAGTTGCCACATGGAGACCTAAAACCATCACAGCAGTCGTTTATTTTAGTTTCCCATGACTGACTTATGAATTTAAGATGCACTTTGGTGTATAGCAGTAGGTGTGCCCCTGCGATGCACTGCGCTGTGGCCGCTGTGGAAATGAAGGAGTACACAGGTACACAGAGACACGGACAGGTGTCGCCTTACATCAGCTCAGTCTTGTGGATGTCAGCAATTCGCCGCTCCAACTTCTCCGAGTGCTTGGGGAAAAACTGGAACTTGGAGCTGTAGCCCTCTGGGTGTTTCCCGGGGTCGTAGTCGCCAATTTCAGCTGGAGGATAGTAAAACAGACACAGACAAGAAGGTTTGATGATGATTTTTTAATCCAGTTATGTTATTTCAAATGTGCCTTTCAAACCACATGACTGTCACTATTTTGCATGCTAGAAGCAGTACAAAAAAATTTAACAATACGTGAACGTTAACACAATATGTGATGCTTAACAAGTGTTGAAATATTTTCTGCATTGAACAAAAGGTGATGCTAAAAGCAGCTGCAACCATAAAGCTCATATAAAACATTTTTGGTATTTAAGGAACAGTGCGCAGGATTTAGTGGCATCCAGTGGTGGAGATTTCAGAATGCACCCTGCTGAAACTTCTCCCATATGCCAAGTGTGAACTCCGATTAAAGGGATAGTGCACCCAAAAATGAAAATTCAGCCATTATCTACTCAACCATATGTCGAGGGAGGCTCAGGTGAAGTTTTAGAGTCCTCACATCACTTACGGAGATCCAAGGGGAGAGGGGGTAGCAGCACAACTCCGCCTAATGGAGGCTTAGGGCGCCCCAGATTCAAACGTCCAAAATCACATAACTGAAACCACAAAATATCTCCATACTGCTCGTCCGTAGTGATCCAAGTGTCCTGAAGCCCCGACATAAAAAGTTGTTTGGAAAAACGTCATCTGAAATCGCACATGTGAGCGCAGAGTACAGAGAGGCAGTTAGAGTTGCAGGCTACAATGAGGCTAAAAACACTACGGACGAGCTGTATGGAGATATTTTGTGGTTTCAATTATGTATTTCTTGGACGTTTGAATCTGGGGTGCCGTAAGCCTCCATTAGGTGGAGTTGTGTTGCTACCCACTCTCCCCTGGGATCTCCACAAGTGTTGTGAAGACTCTAAAACTTCACCTGAGCCTCCCTCGGCATATGGGTAAGTAGATAAAGGCTGAATTTTCATTTTTGGGTGCACTATCCCTTTAAGTATTCCTTCAGTGTTTATTATTTAGGATGTTTCCAAGATGTATCCAGAGTACTCTTCCTCTCCAAAGCAAATGGACCAGATTATTTAAACGTGTAAAAACACTGAATAAAGCAGATTCCTGTTACAAATCAGTGTTTTTCTGACACTGATGAGCGTGTCATGGACAGGATGCTTACTATGGTGGCCAATGTGAAAACGCAAATGGCCTTATCTAGAGCTACTGTTTGGTAGAAGGTATAAACCGTTCATTCTAAGGTAAAGAAAACATGCTGATTTGTATTTTCAGGTGATTATACACTAAAGAGAACATACTTATTACATTATATTCCATGTCTGCCAGTACATCCAGCTATATTCCTTCACACTGAAACTTTAAATAGTATTTAAAAAAAATATTCAAATCCAATTTATCAAATTTCATGTTTGTATTCAATGACTGTACCAAGGGCATTTTGCCACCTTAATCTTTATATGTGGTTGTCCTGAGTTAGCACTGCGGTGCAGCCTCTGCATAAAGCCCAAAATACAAATTTGTCCACAAAGCAAAGACCAATGAGTCAAGGTTTTGAATGTATCTGCACAAAAAGGGGCACACACAAAAAGTATTTCATCTTAAAAAGAACACTTTGCAAATTTTATTTAACCTTGAGTCCATGCAGTACATATTCGGCTGGCATGTCTGTACCGTCAGAAATACCTGCTCGTGTTCTGAGCGTCCCTGTAGCCAGCTTTAGCAGCCAGGTTTACAAACCACTGACATTCGTTTACAGATGGTGGTTAAACTACATGGAGAGTTTGGCTACCTGTCTGCTCTCTGGGGAGCTCTGTACAGCTCTGGCAGCCACGACTGTTGAAAACAGCATTTTAGACAGCCAAAGGCATTCCAGTATGTGTTACAGACATTATGGATTCACACTTTCTGACATGTTGACAGTGCCAAAGAATGTTTATATAAGCCAGAGACACCTAGTGGAGAAATGCTTTACAGAAGAGGAAGGCTCAGACAGCCACTTAGTTGGCAAGGTGAAGTGATAAAGACCGAGCCACTGGAAGATAATATGAGCTACAGCAGATAATACTTTAGTAACTGCAAATACATACATACCTACAGTTAGGCAGTGCTGATGTTTTCACCAAATTATCTTATAGTGTAAGTAAATAGATAGTTATAACAAGCTAGCAAGTATCACAGTGTCTTTCAGTGTATAGACGCACTGCCTTGTGGGCAACACAGAGACACCCAGGAACCTTAAGATTCAGGGACTGGCTGTAAAAAGTCTGGATGGATGGCTGGTTGGCACAGTGCGTGACAGGGAAACTGTTCCTAAATGCATCTCACCTCTCTGCATGTTGATGGGCCTGACACCCAAAGGAGCCTGTCAAATGGATACCTGGCATCTTCCAAAACAATCAACTTTCCTACAAAACTGTCGAATTTACTCAAAAGGAAACATACTGACTTTTCACTGAGTCCCTTGAATTTTTTAAAAGTGATAACTACATTGATTTCTATGGTGCTTTTTAAAATAACAGTTTTCAATTCAAGGTAAAACAACTAATTCAGATTCTCAAGGACATGAGAGCAGTGTGAGCCTTCAGCCTCAGAACACGCTCTGCTCACACATTTGCACACACCCACACAGTGAAATACATATATGGCAGAATATGAACACACACACATGCACACGAAACACAGCTGGCGAGTATTTATTTACAAGCCAGGGTCATATGGAAATCATTAAGTCTACAGCAGGTCATAAACATCATGAATAATATATGTCATGTGTGGTAGACACAGCTGTGTCGGAGGAAATATAGTCATTTATTTACAAATGTAGTTTGGGGTAATAATCTGATATCACGACCACAACTGTGGAAGCTGAGGGTGGTAAACACTGAAATTAAAGGATCAATGGGCAAAATTTAGGGGGATTTAGTGGCATCTAGTGGTGAGGACTGCAGATTGCAACCAGCTGAAACTTCTCCCGGTTAGAATTCCTTCAGTGTTATTATTAACACTTATCTGCAGATGTCTCTTCCTCTCAAAAACAAATGGACCAGGTGATCGCAATGCATAGAAACACTGACTAAAGCAACCTCCAGTTAAAAAAATCTGTGTTTTTCTGACGCTCTTCGGCTCATTGAGGATGGGTTGCGGACTACGGTGGCCTACATGAATCACCTTATGTAGCGCCACTGTTTTGTGGTAAATATAAATGGCTCATTCTAAGGTAACAAAAACACTACCGTTCTTATTATCAGGTGATTATACACTAAAGAAAACATACTTATTATATTCCATTTCTGCCAATATATCCCGCTACATTCCTACACACTGAACCTGTAACAAATTTCAATAATATGAAATTTATCAAATTGGATCTTTGCATTCAATGACTGTACCAAGGGCATTTTGCCACTGTAGTCTTTGTATGTGCTCGTCTTGAACTGACTGATTCAGTACTGTGGTGCATGGTGTTCAAAGATAATGCCTCAGCATAAAGCCCACAGTACAAAGTACTGTACACAAAGTAAAGAACAATAAGTCAAGGTTTTGAATACATCTGCACATAACGGGGCACATAAAAACGGTTTCATCTTAAAAAGAACTCTTTGTCCATTGAGTCCATGCAGTACATATTTGGCTGGCATGTCTGTACCGTTAAAAATACCTGCCAGTGCTTTCTGTACACTTTAGCCAGCTTTAGCAGCCTAATGTACAAACCAAGGACCAGGTCATTTAAACAGGTAAAAACACTGAATAAATCAATGTCATGTCATAAATCAGTGCTTCTTCTATGCTGTTTGGCATATCACAGACAGGCCGCTCGTAGAGCACCTAGTAATATGTGCTCACCTATTTTCTCTGATAACTTAATGTGAGCTCACTTTAGTTCTGATCCAGATGTTCAGGAGGTTTTTACCACGAGCAGCATTAACCACAGATCTTTCACTCTCCAAAACAAACAGATCTGATGATTTCAACTGGTAAAACACTTATAAGCCAGTTTCACATTAAAAAAAATCAGTGTGGTTCTGATGCTCTCACTGTGGACGGGCTGTGAACTACAGTGGCTGACAAAAAAAATTGCAAAAACGTGAATGGCCCTTTCTAGAGCAGGTGTTTGGTTTGTCCGTTCTGGGTTACTGTAGAAACATGGCAGTGCAACATGGTGATGACTGTGGACGAGGACCCACTCCCTGTGTGAATATAAACGTCTCATTTTAAAGTAATGAAAACACAATTCTTATTTTCAGGTGATTATACACTAAAGAAAATATACTTATTATATTAAATTCCATTTCTGAAAATATATCCCCTCTAAATCCCACACACTGGCCCTTTAAATAATAGGCTCAAAGGCACCAGAGGACACCATGACCCTGCTTGGTTTTCTGGTCAAGGTTGCAATGTCTGCCTAGTGTGAGGACAGTTGCGCTTGTCTGAGAGTTTGCTTTAAAATAAAGCTACAGTAGTCCGGCTGAATGCTTTGCAGCAGTCCTTATGCCTAAATGACGACTCCCTATTGCATCATACCTTGTAATATGTAGGCAGCCAACAAAGCAGCATCTGATGTCTTGCACAGGAGGCGGCCATGATAGAGATCCCTCTTAACCTGCAGGAAGACGAGATATCTGTGGAGTGGAATACAGAGAAACTGATTTGGGTCATTATTTAGATAAGATCAATATCAACAGTCCTTTTCTGGTTAACACACATGGTGGATGTTTCCAACTTAAAAGTAAGGTGTCTCTTGAGGCTGCAGGTGTGTAAAAGAGATTGTTGGAAGGAGAATTCTTGAAAATACAAAGTAATTTCAGGCCTGAGGCTGACTACAGGGAACTGTACGCTGTGTTAATGTGTTAATGCTGCTCTTAGAAATAGAGACATGGCAGTTTGCTAGTCTGCTCTCGTTGCTATGTCTGCGGTTATTACAGAGAATCTGCAGTACGTGCTAGCTCTACACAGTGAAATGTAAAATAAATGTAGCTGGCGACAAACCCATTACTCTAGGGCCCTTTCACAACCCATTTATAATTAATCTATAATTACAATTTAGAAAGAGATAAATGAATGCATGACTGGCAATCCAAAGCTTTCTATTGGAACATTAGACACGGGACATGTAGCCTACCTCGAGGCAGAACTCCAGCTAAAGCATAATCACTTTGAGAATTGACGGTGATCTAAAACATGACTGCTGGTTTGCACTGACGTCCACCGGGAGCAACTCAATCTTCTGGTCTCGTCCACAACATCCAGAGATTACTCATATGTCAATTTTCCCGCTCAGCATTCATTTCAACCGCCTGTGATTCGGCTTCTCTCCAAGCAGCAGAGCAATAAATAGTATAGCAGTACTAAGCCTCGCTATGAAAAATGTCAGAGTACAGCTGGGGTGTATATTGGGCCCTTTTTACATCCTGCCACTATCTTGCTGTGAAACTACATACAGAAAATTAAAATCTCAAAGCAACACGAGGCCCTGAGCAAAGTGTTGCTACCTTTTCATATTTAGGCTACCTATCTGTGTGTCTGTGAGAGCTTCGAGTCAGAACAGATGGCGGAGGATGGAGGAGCTGTCCCTCGCCAGCGATCCAGCTCAATCAAGAAGAGCTGGATTGCGAAAAAGAGATTTCACTGCATGGCAACCAGTCGAGAGATGTGATTTACAGGGATCTGCACGCTCGGTAGCTCTCTGGCTCGCTCCTCACTCCTTACAGCAGTTTGTTCAGCTGTCAAGGATGCCACACACAGTACAGTAGTGGTGTGGAGCTTCATGACACTGCAGCTTACTGTAGGAAAGAAAGGGGATACTCAAATAATCCCCCCTGCACACCGACTCACTGTCGAGCTCTGGATACTGTGGTTTTTCCTTTTCTACCTGCATCACATAATGCATTCAAGGTTTTTACTCGACAGTAAAGAAGACAAACTTAAAACACATTTTCACTCTTAACTTTTTCATAAAAATCTATTACAAAACTATTTCATTTCTCTTTTATTTTGCTGGATAAAGTGAGGATGGCTATGGAGCTGAGCAATATGTACTGAAAGGATTCTTAGTTCAGACAAAAGCAAATATTCTTTAAAAACCTCCACTAAGCTGCAGCGCTCATAGCCATTTTTTCAATTATCTAAAAGCTGGCTGCAGAGGCATAATAAAATGACAACAGTAAAATATAAGATATGATTTTATGAGACAAGGAAGTTAATAGAAAGGCAGAAGATAGAGACATCCCCTTTGGTTCAATAAAATCACTCTCTAAGTGCTGTGGATTCTAGGTTTGCTCTGTGTCAGCATTTTTACATTGTGGTTATGACTCCCCAAAATAGAGATATGTGATTTAGTTGTCCCTAGTTGGGTGTGAGAAGCTTGTTAATGGGCCACTTGTGTTGAATGTGTTCTAAAATGGACTTTGCTTTTTCCACGATATTTTTGATCCCACCAGTGAGCAGTCAAACAACCCAACAGGTAGCTGCAATTAATAAGCAGATCTGTAATACCAGAGGAAAAACAATATCAGAGGAATGATCAGGTTGTCTGTGGAGAGGTTTGTAAATAGCATTGTATTGAGGTTGCTGTGGCTGCAGAGGGAGCTTTGCAAATTTTGATAGATTGCCTCAAGTAATGTCACAGCGAGGATGTGAGCTTAGCAGACCTCTGTAGCCCACTCTTCATCTCTGCTTTGAGGCTACATTAGCTGCTACTGGCATAACACTGGCATAAATCTGTGGAATGCTCCCTTAAAACACTGCTCAACCATACTGCCATTTGTTCAGTTTGCTGGTATGTAGGGCTGCCACGATTAGTAAACTAATCGATGACTAATCGACTATTAAAATAATCGGTGACTATTTTAGTAGTTGACTAATCGGTTTGAGTCATTTTTCATATAAAAGTACTATAAAAGTTCCCCAAAATACTCTTACTGCAGCTTCTTACATTCAGATATTGGCAGCTTTACACACTCTCCCGTGACAGTGAACTAAAACCCTTTGGCGTGAGCATGAAACAAGACATTAGATGATGTAATTTTGGGGTTTGGGCGAGACAGACCGACATTTTTCAACATTTTAACACATTTTTCGATGAAATGATTAGTCGACTAATCGAAGAAATAATCGACAGATTAGTCGACAATGAAAATAATCGTTAGTGGCAGCCCTACTGGTATGGACTGGTTAGTTTGACTTCATCGGTGGAAGAGAAAGAGAGTCATGAGAGGCCTCAACCTCATCCTTCCGCACCCAATGGTGTCCTCAAGGGAAGAGGGGGCATGGTCATACCCACTGGCTCCCCCGCCGAAAATAATTGGAGGCTGACAACACTGTCTTTAAGAGACTGTGGCACGCTCATTTTTAAAACCAGCGCAAACGTAGTGGTTTCCTCTGAAATAAGATGACTTAAGGCATCTTAGGTACCAACCATGTTCACATACCTTGTTGGTAAGGGGGCTAAATAATGCTCCAAACCTAGACTAAATTTTGGTGAGGGAACAACTGACATCGTTTTTTTTTAAAGGGGTCCCTTGAACTCTCACCTAAAGATGAATGATGAATGAAAATGTGTTCTATGGGTACCAACAAGTCTCCCCCAAACTTGAGATGGCTTGTTCCCACTAAATGTTTGTTTCCTTACAATTAATGTACTCCTTCAAATTAAACCTGTATAGTGGTCTTGTTAAGAACAACAAGGACCAGCCAATTTGAAAAACGATGACTCCTCTAACATGTATAGATGCATATCACATTAAAACAGGACTGTTGTGAAACTCAAAATGTTAACTGTACCAGTATAACTCTATGCACATCAGATAATTAGTGATACTAGCTATAAAATAGGAAACCAAACTCAGTATGCTATTCCTTAACTATAGTGACGCAGTTTCCAACTGTCCCCACCTGCAGCCCACCAAGCTATCTTGAAATCTTACCTGGTAATTTCCTCTTTCAGGGCAGCGGGGTCAGGAGGGTAAAACTTGACACGCAAACACATGGTGAATGGAGGCTGGGCTGGGGAAGAAAGACAAACATTTAAAATCTATTGTCATGCATTGTTTCTAATGTGCTTGGCATGACTTGTGCGCTCTTTTTCATATTTAGCAGAGTTTTTCTTGAAGGTTTATTATTTAACCAACTAATCAGTCATGTTAAACCTAAATACTTACATTTCATTTGTTTGGCAATTGACTTTGTAAACTCCAACCAATGCTGCAAGGGAGAGAAAGAGAGGTGAAGACGTGCACTTTGCACATTGAATCTTTGGCTGCTAAACTGTCAGTCTGAAGTCTGATTACTCAGCAGCTGAGCATGATGGCTTGTAATCTATAGCCGGAAGGCACAGTAGAAATTACTCCCATCTCCTTGCCGTCTGTTTATTTAGACCCCCTCCAACACAGTCTCCATGCAGAGAGGAGAAGAAGGAAGGCTGTTTGCAAGATAATCAGGAAACTGCTGTTCTCTGTCAGAGTGCTAAACATCACGAGGCCAAACTGGCTCTAATCAGTGAGATGAGGACATGCTGACGATAATAGTGCACTGCGCTTACAATACAGTAACTGTAAAACACAATGATGCTGGAAGCTTTTGATTAACAACTTTTTCTTTTAGCAACACCAGCATTCACCTTTCATTAAATGTCTCTCAGCTAAAATGCAGAGAGAATCTGCAAAGTAAATAACATTTACACCCCTTTAAAGCATATGTAATCCCACCCACAGTTCATAAGTGCAATGATTAACAAATATGCAGTCCAAGTTCTGCAAATTCACCAGAGACTGTGTTCACTTCTGTGATTGATATGCATCTCAATCGAAGGGGTTGGCGTTTAGCCAGCTTGCATAATTGACCTGCAGCCCGCCCTACCTGTGCTGAATATTTACGTAAAGGAGAAAAAAAAAGACTAATTAGACAATTAAGGCATGGCATTCATATCTAACAACATTTAATAAAGCAACTGTCAGCTTCACAGGGTCTCCTTGGACCTTTTAAGATTTACATTCAAAGATTATCATTCTCAAAATCAAGTCCAGCCTGTTAAACACCACACTGTATCACCTCTGACTACATAAAATGTGACTCTGTGAACTTTGCTGCACAAATAGTTATCTAATTCAAAGAAGCAAATTATGCCGTTCGTGCAAACTGGTTTTTAATTCAGGGAGATGAATGGCTTAAAATCATTACAGATATTTAAGATAAAGGTTGATAGAGAGAAACTACGAAGATAGAGAGATGACAAATGAACGAAAAAGATAGTGTAAGAAAAAGCAAGAAAGAAACAAGATGAGACGAGACGAGACCAAATCATGAGTCACAGTGTCACACACTGAATTGAGTCCAGCTGAAATTCAGTTGGGTTTCTTATTAAAAATAGATACTCACCCTCTGCTTGTCTGGGTCGACATATCTAATGCCAAAGTAGTCTTTCTCTAGCAGGTTGAGATGGTGGCAGATGAGGTCGAACAGGTACTGTCCCTTGGAATCCCGCTGAAAGAGAAATAATATGAGAAACTTCATATGATGTACTCGCTCTTCAGGGACATTAAAAAGAGAAGGGAGGAGGAAAACAAGCACGAAAACAGCATCTTCATTTCTCAGTCCTCACCCTCTACATCCCAATATTTGCATATTCACAGACACAGTTAATGGACCCCCAGCAGATCAATGGTGCATATATCTGAACGCTCACATCAGAAATTTACACTCTGCCCAGGTAGAGCAGCAAATAAGATCACACATCATAAAATGAAGGAGACATTTTCTAAACATATTGAAAGTGTTGCATCCAAATTATTTAGTTTGAGTCCATTTTTTGGAGGCTCTAAGAAGTCAAAACGGCCACCAGAAAGTGTTTTAATATTTCACTACCCTCAGGGGAGATATATGAGGGCTATCAAATATTCATATCCAGGCAGCAGCCACCTGTGAAAGCTTTGAGAGATTTCTGCCGCAGAAAATGACCTGGAAAGGCAGTGAGAAAAGGTGAAAAGGAGAGGAAGTCCTCATGCAATGCAGTGCAAAAACCTGACCCTTAATCCTTTTGTATCCTTTTCTCATCATCATTATTAAAGAAACTGAAGATACAGTGTTAACATTTTCAGCTAGGTTAATAAAATACATTGTTAAATTAACAGAGAAAATAAGCTGTTCAGTGACGCACATTCAAATGTACTGTAGAGCCTTGATCACCTTTGTCAGTGAGAGAAGAAACAGGCCTGCTATCCCGTCAGTGGGAGCAGGGCCCTTGCATAAAGCTGCATCTGCCCCAAAAGACTCATTAAAAACCAGTTTAATGAGGTCTTTATTTAGATTTAACTACAACAATAAGCTACATGCAAACAAGGCTCCTACTAAACGCATAACAAAACATGAGCCAGTAAGAGGAGCTTCAGTTTACCAACGCATAGCCAGCAAAAATGTAACTCTGATCTGAGTCAAAACTGTCAAAGACGCTACAACCCATGCTGAGGGTGAAACATATTAAAGAAAGAGGTTGCTTGATAAAGATGTTCGAGCAAATATCATAAACATCACTGCATTAAAAACAAATGTAACGATGGTATGGTAAGGGTGCCGCGCCATGCAGAATAAAGTCATTAGACTTTCCCATATGGAAGGCATGACCCGTCCTACTCTGCCTCTAATTGGCCAACCAATCTCACCCCTCATGCCTACACCTAACCAACCAAGGACCCTACAATACCAGAGTGACAACACTTCTATTGACTCCTGTGGTATGCAGAAGTTAAGCCTCACGCGCCCTCTAGTGGGGCATGAGGGCATTACCTTTCCGATTAGAAAACCCAATCACTTACAGTATGTTGCGCAATTGCTTGTAAGTTGATGAAAACGGCCTTGTTTTTACTTTTAGGTGTCTTGGTCATATTAAGTCATGCTAATAATTTGTTTATTTCAAAATGTAGGGAGTAACATTATGGTAGTCAACTGTTTTGTTTTGTTTTTTACCTGTAAACGGGACACTGATGCTCCTATTACGGTAGATTATGGTAGATTATGCTTTTAGGTTTGCCTGACTTTGGAAACGCACAAGAATTCCTGGTCGGCAGCAATGTAGCAATACTGAAGTTCAGTCAGTTCTTGGTCGGATATGCAACGCGCTATCCGTCCACTAGTGGGCACGTGACCAACTTTCCGCTTGACCAATGTGTGTCGCTACTCTGGTATTGTAGGGTCCTAAACCAACCCAACCAATGAAGAAAACGGGCCTCATTGACCAAGCTTCTTAAAAGGAAATTTCTTCTTAAAACCCCCAAGATTCGTTTTCTTATTAGAGATTTGTTCTTAGGTAAGGACAGAATCTACACGCCCATCAGAGACAGAGACATTTTTTGGACTATCAAGGCTTCAGAATTATGTTGAAACAAAAAAGTCAGTCCCCTCATTAACATGCCACGTTCAAGTTAGCTAGCTCAGCTCATTGTCCACCTTCTCCTAAACACCTGAAATGTTTTTAAAGAACATTTCAACAATGAAATGAACCTTAGCCTAGCTGTGTCGAAATGAACAAAATCCATCTACCAGCACTGCTTATGTGCTAATGTGTAAAATGCTGCCAATTTGCTTTAAACATAGTGAAGTTATATACAAAAGGTCTGGAGATACTCAAGTAACAGCTGGTCTTTGAAACAGTAGTGGTGTTATCCTGCACGAACTGTGTCGGAGTAAACTCATGGTCAGGCTCCGGCTCGTTTGGAGCTTTAAAGAACACATTCAAAGTCAGTTTTACAGCTTAGAGACCTTGGGTTAAATATAAAAGATTTCTCCTGTACTATGTTCACTGTACATAGAGGGTATAGCTTTTCTTCCTTCGGTGGCAGAGGACACTATAAAATATCCTACAGTGCCCTTTAGAGGAGACACTGCATTCACATAAGTGACAGAAAACTGCATAGTCAGAGAAAGTCAGAGGCAGATATATGAGAACGGAAAGGGAAAAAGAGAAGAGAAAGACAAAACCAAATAAAGAGAGGGAGAAAAAAGAGGGATGGAGAGACAAGACCTGCCAGCTGACACTGATTAATCCGTCTCAATTCAGCATGCCACAGCACGGCAATCAAAACGAGAGGACAGGAGGATAAATGCACTGAAGGGTCCGCGCATGAACCATTTTCAGATACAATCTCGGTTGAGACATATCATTTAAGACAATGTGAGAATCTCTGTGATGAAGCCTGTTCACACTTCTCTTTCACTCAATATCAGATCAAATGGCAGAATAAACACCCCTCAGGTTGCATTTGTCTTAAAGGGGAAGTTCCGTTTTTTACAACCTGGACCTTATTTCTGGCATTAAATACGGTTGTTTACTCACCCAGATAAGTTTGGTGTCATTTGGAGTCCTTTGGAAGATATTTAGATCCACGAGAGCCGCGTACATCCATATAGTGGGAATGATCAGGGCACTGAGGCTCTAAATAACACATTATCTGCCACGAAACTCGTTCATTTCACCAATATCTTTTTATGAATTGCTAGAGTTGCTTGTCATCATCATCCGGGTCATTTATACTGACCTACTAACCTCTGCAAAAAAAAAAAGAAAAAAAAAGAGGCAATTCGTAAAGACAATTCTCTTTACCACCGAAACGTTCACCTTTCTGTTTCTCACTTTTTGTCACAGAGCACTATGTAATAATAAATTCACGTTTTGCATAAGAAGTGCCTCTGCTTTTTGTGCAGTGTGCGTGCTGTTCTACACAAGCGATGAGAAGAAACTAAAGAAATGTAAATTCTCATAGTTATTTACTTATCAAGCAAACAAATTCAAGGATAATAAACAATTTATGCATGTGTGTAGGCTACTTATTCAATTGAAAGTTGCCCGTTCGGTCCTGCAGGCTTTGGCTGGGTCTTCCAGTTTACTTTCGGGACATGAAAAAAACAGCCCGGTTGATCATAGAAGTGAAACCCTCTGTTGTGAGACAGTCATTTCTGGAGACATCCAGACGTGTATCTCCTGGCCTCAAATCCCACTCGGAGCAACAAAGCCATTCATCCTCTGTTGGCATAGTGGAACACTGTCCACAAGAACACCACCAGTTAGCATCTATTCTCGGACGTGCAGCGGTTTGTTGTTCTCTGGCCAGATGTTCCTCTCTCTGCCTCCGCATCCTCCTTTCAAAGAGCTCCTCATCCGTATACTCTGGCTCAAAACAGTAAGGACGTCCATCATATTCAAAGTCGTCATCCACAACCTCAAAATCTGACAAATATTCAGCCATGTTTCAAAAAACTAACAGTAGCAAATTCCAGTTGTAAACAGAGCCGTGCTGCGGGTGTGCGGCGGCGCGTGCACCTGGATGACATCATCCAGGTCAGAGGTTAGTAGGTCAGTATAAATGACCCGGATGATGATGACAAGCAACTCTAGCGATTCATAAAAACATATTGGTGAAATGAACGAGTTTCACGGCAGATAATGTGTTATTTAGAGCCTCATGTACGCGGCTCTCGTGGATCTAAATATCTTACGAAGGAGTCCAAATGACACCAAACTTATCTGGGTGAGTAAACAACCGTATTTAATGCCAGAAATAAGGTCCAGGTTGTAAAAAACGGAACTTTCCCTTTAACATTGTCAGGGCACCCTGAGATTAGAGTTATTGCTCCTCTTTTGGAGAGGGTTCAACCTTTGCTATAAAATGGCACATATTGTCATTTACGACCAAAGAGCCATGCTGTAAAGGGTCGCTTATTTAAAAATCAACTCACTGAAGAATTAGTTAAAATTTCCTCTCACAACCAGACTGGTTTTCTCCATGTGTATTGATCAAGTGGTGCTTAGAGTAGAATAATCCAGAATAATTCTGTACTGTTCATATTGGGCCAGACTGACCCAATTCACCTTTAAATTTCAGACCAATCGAATCAAGGAAATGCTAATTCTAGTCTAAAGTCTAAATGCTCATAAACTATAGACTTCAGACCCTTTATCGGCATTGATGAACTCACAAAGACGATTATATTGTTTTTTAAGAGTCCTTTGCCAAAGAAATCATCACAAAGTGTGGTACTTTTCAATCTACGCTGTGCACACTCCCACAGGGTGCATGCAGATCTCCTTGGGCTGGCAAAACTCAGCTCAACACACAATGACTGTGTCTGCAGGAGTATGGCAGTGTGCTTGTATTCAGCTCAGTCTCTGAACTCAGAACTTAGTACAAATGCACAAATGTTGTGTTCAAATTGAAACGCTTTCAGCTTGTGCAGACGCATCTTCAATTCAGATCTTGCCAACCAACTGACTGCCTGACACTGCCAAACCTACAGCTATGCCACTAGCATGGCTAAAAAGTTTTTTTCTTTAAACTGTTTCAGGCATCTTTAATCTGTCAGTATTTCTGAGGGTGAACTCTGGTATTTTTGAGCATTTACACAAACAGTTATACTAAATTCTTATACTAAACTCTTATTCTAAAATTAGGTTTTTAAATGTGGAAAAAATAATGTCAAATTCATTTTGCCAA